TATATATATATATGTTTATATCAATTTTAAAAAAAATAAAATGATGAACTTTGCAGACGTATGCAATTTTTTTAATTGTGGAGAAAATGAGTATCCTACTTTGAAGTAATAAAGTTAACGTGAGTATACTTTACTCTGTGTATTAGTACTAGTATCCACATATTTGCAAAAGAAATGACAGGAAAACTGTTAAAACGAGTCATTTTTTAAAAACATAAAATTCAGTTTTATGTTGGTTTTGATCAAAGCATGAAAGAGCCACATGTGGCTCCAGAGCCGCAGGTTGCAGACCCCTGGCTTCCTTGTCTTTTTATCATTTTGTTTTTTTATGGGGGGGGGGGGGGGGTCTTTTCTCTCTCTGATTTTTATATTTAGATGAATGATGATATGACACTTCACGAGTCCTCTCTTTAGGTGTGTTTATGCAAAGATAATTTTACTTCTGTCAGAATTTGTTTTAATTTATTTTGGCTTTGTTTCTGTTTAGCACTGGCTTTATTGCATGTTTATTTTTATACGCCACTCAGAAGGGGGACATATAATATGTGTGTTTTGTGGTGTTTGTGTCTACTTGTGATTGTTTTTAGTTCTCTGAGTCTATTTTCTGTTTCCAGCATCCCCAGTGTTTCTCTCTTCTTGTTGCCAGCTCATGCTCCTCCCACTCTCGCGCGCTCATCATTACCCTCCCCAGGTGTTTGTCATTCCCTCTCGTTATTTTCGTCTTTAAATAATGTCTCGTTCTGTTTGTCCCTTTTGTTCTGTTCTGATTGTGCTTCATCTGCCAGTCATGCCCTGTACCCCCGTGTCTCGCCAAGTTCGCTATTTTTAAAAGTTTGCTGCCACGTCAGCTTTTTGTTTTTATTTAAATAAATTTCTTACGTTTACCCTCGAGTTCCTCGTGTCTGTCTCCACCTGGGTTCAACGGCTCAGAGCTTGATCATAATAGTGTTGTCTCCGTCCATCTGTACGTCCGTAAACTTTCTCATGTCCAAAACTTCTGATCCTTTCAAGATAATTTAATGAAACAATTTTGCATCACTCCTGCTCTAAGGTCAAGGTCACAAATCAAGGTCAAAGGTTATACAATGTCTCTGTTTGTCTGGGTAATTGCTATAGATTGCTGTATACTTGTTTGTTGATGGGCGTGTAGTTAACGCCTGCCCCTGTTTTATATATTTAGTTTCTTATTAGGAATTAATTCAAATAGGAATCATTCCTGAAGTAGCTCAGTGGAAAGTGCTGCCCTCCTCTAATCCTGCTTGAGCCCAGGTTTTTGTACTACCTGCGTCTTTAATCGGTTATTAAAGACTTGTTTGGACCATCAATGCTCCCTTTGTATCTGCATTTGGGTCCTTTCACCACAATTCACATTCACAACACTTTTTAATGATTTTGTTCACTCTTTTGCTTTTCCGAACTTGACTTTGCTCACTGTCAAAAGTTGTTGTTTTTTGTTTGTTTTAATCAGTCTACAAGGTTTTAAAGGTGCACTGGGCATGTTTGTTTGCAATTTGCAATTTAAGGCTCAAATCTATTGTAAGGATGAAGAGAGAGAGTTCCTATTGACTGAAAATTAAGGAAAACCTTAAATGACTTTAATATTTTCCAGACAGGGAATTTGAGAAAAACAGCAAAAATCAGGAAACATTTAGGAAACTTGAACACTGATCTGCTGATGAAAAGATATGTCTGATATTTTGATATGGTCATGTTTAATGCTGGTATTCTAATATCAGTGAGTCCATGTTCTAGAATGTACACAGTACATGTATCTTTACTGATTGTATGGTGCCTTTTTAGTATCTGATGTTATACAATATATTTAGTTATTAGGAATGATTGTTGTATACATGTACCTTAGGCTACAGTATACTTCCTGGTATCTCCTGGAGTTTCATGATACAAAATCAGGGAAAATCTGGGGAATTTTCTTTCATGAAATGCTGGGAACCCTGGGACAATGATACAAATACAGCCAACAATCCCTGCAACACAAGTTTTGACCTAACATTTACGACTAAAAATCACTCTGAACATTATCAAAAATCCTTTACATCAAGAAACCTTGAATGCTCTACTACAATATATACAACTATAAGACGTTTTAAAGTATAACACTAAATACTAAAGCAGTAAATGAACGTATTCCTTCCACGGTCCATCTGAAACCCTGACTGTAAGACAAAAGCATATTAATCTTTCTTTGTCCCTCATTTTATTGTACCTCCATCTCCCATTTTCCTCCACATCCCTTCACTCTGATCCATCTACCTCCACTGAATTTGTGGAGCCAAGATAGAGGAACAAAATATCAGCACAATAGATCATTTTGACAGTTTAATTTCAAAGCCTGATTATCAGTCAATTTGATAATTATATTATCCAACCATCCAATTAATGTGTTCTATATTTACAATGATGATCAAGTAAGCTCTCCGTTTTTACATCGTTTATAAAGGGTGAGATATTGGAAACACAAGGGACCTTGACAGTTTGCCTCTGAGCCTTCATGATGAAGATATAAAAATCAGTGTTGCCACGTTTAGTATGTGCATCACCCTCCAGAGAGGTTCTCACTGGTATCCTTCTATCAGTTCCTTCACACTCAGCAGAGCGTGTTCAGGAGTCGCAGCGAGAGCGAAAGACAGGGCGAACGAACGATGAAAGGATTTTACGCCTCCTTCATGCCTTCGCTCCTCATCCTGTCTGCTCCGCGTGACTCGGAGGAAAGGGTCTGTGCTGTGCCAATGAGCTGCTGACACACAGAGCGCAGCATGCAGGACCAGTCCTTCATGACTTGGTGCCGTGTGCCTCCGACACTCCCAGAACTAGTCAAAAACATCCAACACAAGCAGCAGCGCATCGTAGCAGATTAGCTCCATGTGCAACTCAATCAAACCAGGGGTTTTCTTCTGGTGTGTGGTTTTGCATCTACATTTCATCAAATACAAGAAAGTACCTTTTAAACTGTAGGACTTGTCTGCAAAACGTATACGTTCTCATAATTGTGTCTCCAGAGGTTAGATGTGAATGCATAGGAGTTTTCTGTTGGTCCTGTGTAGACGACTAGTAGTGAATCTGTAAAATCACCAACTTTGTTCTTCGCAGATGACGTGCCTCCCTATTTCAAGACGGAGCCGGTGCGCAGCCAACTCCACCTGGAGCGCAACAGGCTGGTGCTGACATGTATGGCAGAGGGAAGCTGGCCGCTGGAGTTTAAATGGATCCACAACAACACAGAATTAACACGCTTTTCACTGGAGTACAGGTGAGTGCAAACAAATGACCCTCTTGTACTTTGTCTTATGTATTTGTTGTATTAGTGGTCCGCTCAGAATCATTAAACTTTCCTTATTATGACCTTGTTAAAATGTTGTTTTTTTTTCTTGCTTATTGTCATGAGGTTTTGAAATTAATTGTGCAAAATATACACTAAGATATGTAGCTAGATTGGGAAGTGTGCTTTGACTTTTGGCGGCAGTACGTTGCAGAATTAAGACAACTTTCTCAAATAACTGAAAGGAAAGAAAAACCAATGGGGATCAATGGGGTTTTGGTGAAACAGATGAGAAATCCCAGTCCTCTTCAGACCTCTACATCTCTGCACACTTAACTGTAGAAACATCATAACTTGGACTTCTCATGTCTCAAAATGGTAATTTGATGTTTTGATTTGCACATAATCCCCGTTTAAATTTAATGACAATTGAAGATGTCATGCTCTTAAACTTTTGAACTGCCTAAAATTTTTAAATCTAATGCAAATAAACTTTTCTTGTGTCCACACTTCTTACTGGTAAATATACAAATCATACTTTAAAACGTATTTTTGTCTACTTTTACCCACTGGCTCTTACAGCTATAGGACTTAGTTTGTTTCTAGAACCTTCTAGAATGCCGAGTGCACGTCCATGCTTCAACCTGTTCGGATATATTTTAGCTAAAAAATATTCCCTTCAGAAGTGGAATAAAAGTTTTAGCTTGTCAGATACCATCATATAACACTCTAGAGACAACAAAAAATCACGTTACCATCAGTGTTCTGCTGCTCATCGTTCAATATTTTTTAAGATCTGACTTTTTGCACGAGTGTTTATTTGACGCCTACTTTTTACTCCATGTTTTTGTTTGCCTTTCATTAACATGGCAGTCAGGGAGTGAGATGTGGTTTCCATGGTAACCACATTGAGCCACATGTAGTAGCTTTAATGCATCTGTTGGTCTTGGTTCTCGTTGTACTTCCTATACAGTTAAAATGTAGACTTTTTTTATTATTTTTTAGGGAAGTTATGTTGGAATTATGGGCTGCAGCTGTTTGACCCCCTTCAAAATGTCAAACTTTTTTTTTTCTAGTTCCTATAAATACCATGTGGTGCAGGTGATTGAGCAAACCATCAATTAAATACAAGGTTATGGTTCGTTTTCTGGCTCTGGCGAGACATTAATGGTCCTGATGACTTTACAGATCAGTTTGGCCAGAGTCGAAGCTTGAGTGAGTGTTTGAATGTTAAAAAAAAAAAAACCTTTTAAAGCACTTTATGGAACTCATCTAAACCTAAAAACTGTGGTTTGAGTGCTGGCAGTTTATCATTTATCAAAAGGACAAGCAAAATGAAACCGTGTGATCCGGTCACCACACAAACCTGAGGTCTTGTTTGATTTGTTCTAGCAGAAATCTAAAATGCAAAGCTTTTAGTGGTGTTTTTCCCGTCTTTGTCCACATCAACCAATAACAGGTCTCTTGTAATGTGGAGCAGGTGGAATATGACGGGGCTGTTGTTGAGGCGTGCTGCTCGGCTCCCCATCGCGTGTTGTTTTCTCACGATTGGTCAGAGGTCTGTCCGGTTGAATTTAAAACCATGTTTGGCTCAGCCATTTTAAATTGCTCCTTGGAAACAGAAAACAAATCAAGAGTTCAAACTAATTCCCACTTGTACATTTGTAGAAGAGATCGGGCATTCAATTTAGATTGTTCTGATAACTTTTAGATCTTTTGTGTTGTTGATCATTTAGGTTTTATCTAAGATTTGGGTAATAAAGCAAAATTATATCACCAAGCATTAAACCTTTCAGTGCCACTTTACAATAAGTCTCCCCAGGCTCCCCTTATAGATGGCTAGTAAATAGTTTATGATGTTATTAATTAGTCATTAGTCATTTCATCTAGAGTTGTCATATTAAACATTTCAGACTAAGTTACAACCTTGTAAGCACAATAAGCATTTGTAAACCTATTTATTTAGCATATTATTGTACTTTATCACCGCATTATATGTATTTCCAACTAATATTACCATACATCCAAAAAAAAATTAGGTTTACCATATTTTTCACCCTATAAGTCACCGTTTTTGCATAATTTGCATGCTCTGCGACTTATATGCCGAAGTGACGTATTTATGGATTTTTTTCCCGTATTTATAAACCAATTTTTGACTGATATGACCGTTTTCATTCATTCTCACTGAAAATTTTGAACACTACCATTTTCAGCCACTAGATGGCTGTCAAGTAGTAAAGCATGCCATTGTATCATGTAATAGGTAAAAGTGGCTATTAATGACACAATCGGCTTGCCATTGCCTGCCACCTTCATCTGCATGGAGCAACCATCAAATCAGCTTCATTTCACTGTGCCGCCCCGGCATTATGCAGCTGATTTGACTGTCAAAGTGCATTTATTAAGGAAAAGTTGGATTGAGACACACTTTTGCTATAATTTCAAGCAAAAAAATAATTGTTTTTAAGTGTTATTCTTGTTAAATTCTTGTTATAGTACTCCTATGCATGCTCCCGCGGCCACATATTTGGATTGATGCAACTTATAGGGGGGGGGGGGGGGGTGACGTGTACGGCGGAAAATACGGTACAAATGCTTATTGTGCTTACAAGGTAGTAACGTAGTCTGAAATGTTTAGTATAACAACTCTAGATGAAATATGTAGGTGAAAAGATTTGGCTCACTATTTTGCATGAAACTGGTCAGTTTTGTCTGTGTCACCCTTAACTAATGCATAATAAGCAGTTATTAAAATTGATAGTGTGTTTATAGAGGAATTAATAACGTATCTATAAACTATTTATTATCCATCTATAACGGGAGCCTTATTGTAAAGTACCAACCTTTATGTGAACTTTAAAGTGCTTGTTATTCTTCTACACACCAGGATGATATGCTGTATGAACATTTTCAGAGTGTTACTGTTTCGTCAAGCAGCTGCCAAATAAACAGCAACCTTTTTGTTTTTCCATTGCCTCTGCCTCGCTTCTTCGCCTCTCAGCTCTGTGACCTCCATCACTGTCTCTGGAGAGGCTGCAAACAAGCAAAAGGCATGAATGAGGGTTAGGGCAGGAGATAAACTGTCTTTAATGGTAACTGGAAGATCCTAATCATGTGGCAAACATTGCTCTTATCTCGGAGAGCAGTGTCTGCACCGAGAGCTTCCAAGGCGGTGTAAATGGAGCTCTGGAGGGTTGAAGGAAAGCTTGCTGACACACAGCTGATCTTTGCTGAACTGCTGTGCTCGTGTGTGAGGAGGACAATGAATGTGGAAAACAATAGAATCTGGACATACAAGCAAGCCCAGCCTGGTTGATGGGGTGCCTTTTTCTGGAGACAGATAAGAGCGGATTGGAAGCGGCCACAGGGTAGGAAGAGCAGAAGTGACACACAGGTGCCAGAACAATTGATCAGGATGAATTCTACTTGAGGATAAAATTGTCTGCATGAGCTTTTGTGCCCACTTCACTAAGTTTATGGGTGAATGATTGGGTTATAGAATAGCGTGCGCTCAAACAACATGAAATGCAGGCATGGTTATCTGTGGGTGTTTTTATAGTACGTATTAAACATGTGGGTGGCTCAGTTGGTAGACCTGTTGCCTCTCAGCGAGAAGGTCACCGGATCAAATCCCAGCCGGGGACCTGTCTGGGTGGAGTTTGCATGTTCTCTCTGGGCATGCGTGGGTTTTCTCCGGGTGCTCCGGTTTCCTCCCACAGACCAAAAACATGCATGTTGGACTGATTGGTAACTCTAAATTGTCCCTAGGTGTGAGTGAGAGAGTGAATGGTTGTCTCGATTGACTGTATGTGTCCCAGTGATGGACTGGAGACTTGTCCAGGGTCTCCCCCACCTCATGCACAGTGATAGCTGGACATGGGCACCAGTGACAAACTTTGTACAACAGTTGGTTTTGTATTAAAAACATGTTGTAGAATTATTACAAGTATTAAGTACATAAGTATTAATTATACAAAAAACAGGTTGGATCAATTCAATGTGTCTATAAAATGTTCCAAATGTGTTGACAAGGACACATGCCCAGTGATATGTCACATACCATTGGGCACTTTAAAGTGGTTATACTGTAATTCCCAAGATTTTCTAATGGGTATACTCCGTAGACCCTCGTATCACATAGACGACATCCTTGCAAGACAGCTAATCATCTAAAACAGTTAAATGTTTCTAAAAAAGTTGGAATAACACACCGTTGAATACTTGCATAAGGCTGTTAATATTTTTCCCTATTGAGCTTCGATGTTTTAGGAGTAACTGCACTGCAGGGTAGACGTGTATCTTTCAGGAGATCAACAGTTACTCATTATTCTGTTAGTCTAATCCCAAACAATAAGTTATTGTAAAAGTTTGGATAATTAGATTGAGTTTGATGTGCATTTTCATTGTTGGCTCAATTAGTAGTTTTCAAACCCACTAAAGCTCCAGTTTGAGCCGAGCAAACTTCCCATGTTAATGAGGCTACGGTCCCAGTGCTTTTTAGCCTCTATGGCTGCACTCACACTGTATTTGAACTACTTATTTTTGTCCCATAACTTTATCCAACATTCATATATCTTAAGGTATAAAAAAAAGACAAGACCAAAGTCCGTAAATCATGTTTAAAATGCCAGAGTGCCCCATTCAGGACAGAAATACTGATATAAAAGGTTGATTCAAGGTCAGATCCCTTTGTCTAGTTGAGGAATGAAAATCAAGACAATTCTTGTTAATGTATAGACATATTCATATATTTATAGTTTTGTACTGGCAGACAGAAATATGAAACAACAGACAGTTTTATGTATCTGTCATGTAAACATCAAACCCTACAGGATGTGCGCCAACAACAAAATACCCCCAGGATCATGTCAATGATGAAGTGCAGTTTGTTTTTGTATAAGAAAATTGGAGGATTGTTGACATAAAATAGAATTTCTAATTTGAACAGATTTTTACTTTCAATTAAATAAATAAAAAATCAATTAAAT